ACCATCTAATCAATAATATAGTGTGAATATATTTTTTTTAAATAGTTAATAAAATATATAAAATAAAAATAAATATAAATAAAATATTATTAAATAAAAATATATTTCGAAAAAAAAAATATATAAAAAAAATATTTAAAAAAAATATATAAAAAAAAATCACAATCAAAAACACCCAAATCATTCCTCCCTCGGAGGTGAGATTTGTGGCAATCTTACACTGGCGATTTTTTTTTTTTTTTTTTTATATTTTTGTGAAGCTGATGTTATCTTACTTGAATGTAAAGTTGCTTTTTTAAAATTTTTATAAGTTTTTTGACATTTATTGATTTTTTTTATGTTATTGAGGTCTTTGGGAAGTTTTTTTTTTTTTTTGAAAGAATTTTTATAATTTTTTTTTTTTAATACTTTTTTTTTTTTTTATTTTTTTTTTGTGAGGGTAACTATGAACTTTTTTTATTTTTTATTTTTTATGCAGTGCATTGACTCCTAAGGCTGAGGGCTATTTTTTTTTCACACGGTTATTTTTGGCACATATTTTTTTTTTTTTATGTGCATGAAATTTTTTTTTGGCACAGTTTTTGTTTAGTTTTTTTTTTTTTTTTTTTATCACACATGTTTTTTCTTTTTTTTTGAGGTTATTTTTTTTTTTTTATTTGAATTATATCACTAAGAATTTTTTGGAAGATAATTTTTTTTATTTTAAGATATTTTTATTATTTTTTTTATTTTTTTTTTTTAAAATTTTTTTTTTTTTATTTTAAAATTTTGGGACTCCTTCTTGTTTTTTTTTTTTTTTTTTTTTTTTTTTTTTTTTTTTTTTTTTATTGTTTATTTTTTATATATTTTTTTTATATGTTTTTTTTATTATTTTTTTTTCTATTTTTTTTTTTTTTATTTTTTTTTATATTTATTTTTATTTTTTTTTATTTTGGGGTGACTATTTAAGTTTTTATATTCACACTATATTGTGATTAGATGGTAATCAAGTTTACTTTATTTTGATGATGGTAGTATCATTTGCTCATATTTTGCTCTGCTGGGTGTGTTTGCCAAAATACACTGCAACATCCATTCTTTCAACCTCAGTCAGAGATACTACAGCTAGACCTGTTTAAAACAATGTTGCAGGGAGACATTGACAAATAGAGGCTTGCTGTGTTAATGCTACTGACATTTTGCATCACATAGAATTTGTGAAATTTTAACTATGGTTACACTTCACCTGGAGCTCAAGGATAGCTTTTTTTCACAAGAAAAGGCACGCTGTTTTGAAAACTGAAAATATAGGTACAGCATGAAGCCCATGTCCTGCCCTAGAAACAGGCCTGTCTGCATACTGTAGGGGGTCCCAAACTGATGACTTTTTTATACGCACAATTGAATTAACTTTCAAAATATGACCGACATGTTATTTAATTCAGGTTGGACCTTCTGTAGTTTAAGGTAGAGGAGAAGTGGTTTCAATCAGAGATAATCTGACCTTCTGCTTCGTTAACTCCTCTAAATATGAAATTAGCCTATAAATTAATAATGCCATGGTATTATACTGAAGTTCCTTGGAATTTTTTCACTTATATCCTGCTTCTGGGCTTGTGCTTCTGTAAAGGGACATGCTACATATTTGATGGGCCAGTCTGTTTTCTGCAGCATTCAGGGCTTAAGTTCTCCTTAAAATGTTGTTTTCCACAAGGACTTTCCTAAAGATTCTTAGCAGGCGCTCTTCTACATTTTAATATTGATCTTCTCTGTTTGGGAAACAAACAAGTGCTTACTCACAGTTTTTTAGGAACTTCCTTGTCTTCCTGGTGGCTGCTAGTTCATTATCTTTTAGTCTATACATCAAAACACTGTGGTGCAAAACATTATCATCCCAGAAATTAAGAGCCTTGTTATCACCCTATGTGATAAAACTGTTGCGTGCCTCAAGCTTTGCTTTAGTTTGCTGCAAAGGACTGCACCACCCACTTTTGAGATCTCTAGATTGGGATTAAATTTAAAAAATGGTTAATGTATTTCGAAAACAAACTCTTGTATCTCTGTTTAAGAGAGCTCCGATGTATTCTTGGGTCCCAACGCCTGCCCATCAGACATGGTATGCCACTGGCCTGTGAGATGGTGATAAGGAGGAACTGTAACTTATAGCCCCCTGTGTGTATACAGTTGTGCTCAAAAGTTTGCATATCCTTGGAAGAATTGGCAAGTATCTACCATTTTTAAAATAAAAGATGAGTGAGCAGGTTAGAACACATTTTTTTTTTTTATTATATGGGATTCATATTCAACTGTAGATCATAGCAGAAATGGCACAATCATAAAAAAAAACATAGCAACAAATCTAACAAATTAAATGACCCCTTTTCAATGTCTGCATTAACCTTTAGTTCTTAATACTCCTGTATTGCCCTCTTTAGCATCAGTGACAGTATGCAGTCTTTTTAAATAGATGTTTATGAGGCCCAAAATTCCTGCAGGTGGTACGGCTGCTCATTATCTTGGCAAAAAAACCTCCTAGTTCATGAAAAAGTCTTGGATTGTCTTGCGATGAACACTTGAGATCTCTCCACAGGGGCTCACTGATGTTAAGCTCAGGAAAATTGTGATGGCCACTCCAGAACTTTCACCTTTTTCTGCTGTAACCACTGGAGGGTCAACCTAGCTTAAGGTCATTGTTCATGCTGGAAAGTCAAAGAGCATCCCATGTGCAGCTTTTGTGCCGAAAAAAGCAGATTGTCTGCCAGCATTTTCTGATAACATGCTGCATTCATCTTGCCCATCAATTTTCACAAGATTCCCCAAGAGAGAGTGTCGTTTTCATATCAGAGATAATCTGGGCCTTCTGCTTCCTCTAAGGCCTTAATGTGATAATTTTAGCCTATAAATTAGATAGTGCCTGTGTAATGCCAATAAATGCCTGGTAAGCTAACTTTACACTAGTATAGTTCCTGGCTTGTAACTCAACTTTTCTCAATTATCCATAGCCTAATATTTGGGCTTGTGTGTCTTTCTGTGACATAAGGATAGATCTAATGCTACTTAAACACTCGACTCCTGTACCAAAATGTCCTGTTTTCTCCAAAGTTCTCTTATCTCAGGACTTCTACAAAGATATTGTATACTCTTTATTCAATAGTGCTTACTGACAGTTTTGTAATGTGTAATACTCTCTCGTCTCTCACGAACTTTCACATCATTAGAACATATTATTAGCAAGGTCCCTGATATCTATGTTTACGTAGCAATTTTTTTTTCTGTGTTTAATCGGGCTCGATCAGCTAGCTTCTCAGTTTACCCAACTCACGCATCACTAACATAGTGTCTCTATTTTGCCTCACACAGTTTTTAAATGGAACTCATTGTTCTTCCGATGAAGTGCTGCTTGGTTTCATTGTATCTTTTGTACCCTATTACATCAATGCACACTGTGGTGCAAAACATTTATCTAATGACCCCTGATTTATCTTTTGGAGTTCCTAATTGTATACAACCATTATGTGCACATACAATCATGAAACTGTTGTGGTGTCTTGAAGATAGAAACTTTCGTTGACCATGAATTCATGTAGCACTTTAAGTAGCTTCCCCAGTGCACATGACATTAATGTGAATGGTGATCTAGTCAAACTGCGAGTAAGGTTTGAGGCTTTTTCCGGCACATGAGCATGTTCTGTCAATGCTCCCTTATGCACTTATTTGTTGCCGGAGTCAATATGTGTAGTGACTCGCTACTCGATATCCAAATTGATCACATCCAGCAGATTGTGTCGAAGATCATGACAGATGGAACAATCCGAGCCAGATGTCAACGATCATATCTGATCAATGAAATCTGTGGGTCAGATTTATGTAGCTGCCATGTGTGATGAGTCGCAGTCTCACTAAGTGGAGAGCAATGCGAAAATGGTAGACTCTATATCGACATGAAGTAGTACAGGTGGGATCTCGAACAATTACTAATAAAACATCCCGAGATACAGCATGTGAGGAAGGGTCTATCAACGTGATTTAATAAGAGCAAGTACGCAATCACATATGCGCAATGCACATTTTGCATGCTTTGTAATATAATTTTCTCATGTAATTACTGTCAGAAACAATTGGAATGTACTGAGGTCGTGATACTTTTTTGCCGCCATTTGCCACTATATCATACAATTTTCAGCGAGGACAAGCTTTCGGGGTTTGTCCCCTTCTTCAAGGTCCAACAGTACTGCCTGAACAGTAGTGCCAAAATGCACTAATACGGCTACAATCACCTCCATGTTTAATTACTATCAGAATTCTGCAGGTGTTTTACCAGTATCTCTCAATATAGTCTGATTGTTTGAATATGTACACTTGCTAATCTTCTCTTCTTTTAGGCTATGCTTAGCCAAATCAATTATTTGAAAAACATCAAAGTTGGTGTTGATAAGTAAAGGACAGTGAGTGTCATGTTCAGGGGTACAGAGAAATCACTAAACAATTCAGCAGCTCCTATGGGATACTGCTACACTTATAACCATCTAATTTCATTGAAACAGAAAATCCCATATACTGTATGAAATTCATTTGTTCAAGAACAAATTTTTCCATCCTTTTCCTTTGAACTCTGAGGTCCTTTTGATCCCAATAACAATTAGAAAATTGAACGAATGTGTCAAGGTATCAGTGTAAGGCCAGCTTTGAGGCAGGTTGTATCCAAGGGAGAAGGTTTCTCTCCTCCTTACAGGTCAGTCACTTTTGCTACTGTTTACTCACAAGGGGGGGCAACTGTGCCATTAGCATTTGTGCCAGACCCAGCTTTCTGCAAGGATGAATTTTCAGATTTCAAAAACTTGCATACAAATGCATATTACCACACATATATTTTTAGTGCATTTTTTATGTCCAGTATGATGTGAAAGGACCCTAACAAAAATATTGCAACAGTAAAATGGTACTTTCATTGTACTTTTTGATAGCAGTACTGTTGTTGAACATTTGGACAGATCAGGAATTTCTATGTGCAGACTTGTACAATTACAGAGAGGCAGGGGCGAACTGACAACTCATGGTGCCCCTGGGCAATAGGGGATCATGGGGCCCCTGTGTCCTCGCCCACACCCAAAAAAAGCCTATGAAAAAGCCAATGACAGGTACCAGGGGCATCTCATGGGGCCCCCTACTGACCCAGGGCCCCCCCGCGGGCATTGCCCGAGTGCTTGAATGGTCAGTCCGCCCCTGCTGAGGTCCACTTTTAGTTCATGAGTGGTGTAAGGGCTCGTTCACACCATGGTGCGGAGATGTCCATTTTCTGTACGTGTTCTGCAAGGGCACAAAAAAAACTATTGTTCTGCAAGTGAAATCTGCATGTCAGTTTCCATCAGTTTTTTTGCTTGTATGGTGTGAGTGAGGTGTAAGTGTTGGGGGTTTAATGAATATAAAGTAAAGGGCACATATCAAAGTGATGTCATATACTGATCTCTCAGAGCCCCTGCTGTCACCTCTGGCTCCCCCAGGTCTTACACCCCCAGGTATTAATATACATGTTTGAAGTGTAATCTTTCTTGCCAGGACTGTTTTCTTAAACCTTTCTGCATCTATTTTGGTCTCGTCCAGTCTTACAAGTTTATCTTCTATTTCTCAATGGATTATATTTATCCCTCTTTGCAGAAACAAGCCTGAAGAAGCTGGATTATCCTTCTATGTGTTGTGCAACTTATGTCATATTATACTTCACATCCCCGAAACGTTGTTCCTTAATCAAGATTTTAATACATTTTCCATTAGTAATATATAGTTTTGTATAAACCCCCCCCACAGAAATCAATACTTATTTCTTGGCAAATGTCCCCATAATAAGACTGTTATCTGTTTCTAAGGTCTATTCTCTCTGGGAAATTGGTCATTTATTTTCCTGATTCCAGCTGTCTGATAAATGTATAGAGATTTAAATATTTCTTTGTGTGTGCATGACCAGTCCTAACCTTCCTAAAGCCAGCCATAGAGGGATCAAAATTTCGATCCATCTATGGGCGGGCTGGTTGTACTCATTCAATCTATCCATCGACCTCAGTAGAATCAGCCTGTTGGGTTTTTTCATCTGATCACTGCTGGCAGTTTAGACACAGGTGTGTTTTTCTGCCTCTTTGTAATGTCCTCCATGAGCCTCTGAATCTCTCCTTTTCCCCCTCACTTCTATTTGATTGGAATAAGATGGGCTGTCATGTGTACTGCTCTCTGCACACCACACATCCCATTGTCCATAGTCCATCTTGGGAGTGAGCAAGAGAGGGTGACTACATTCCTACATAAAGTGGGACCATGGAGAACAAATGTAGCCACCCTCTAACAGGAAGTCAGATCACAACAGCAAAAAAATAATAATTTACAGATATGGAGAAGGCTGTGAGCAACAGAATGGACCTTTTGAGTAAGGAATTCATACTTGAATAGATTTTAGTTTAGTATCACTTTCATGTTCACAGTCATGTAGAAGAAAAGGATACTATGGTTCAGATCTACTAAAACTGATTCATACAGAATCTGCTGCAGCTGTGCATAGTAACCAATCAGCTTCCAGGTTTTATTATCAAAGCTTAATTGAACAAGCTGAAGTTGAAAGCTGATTGGTTAATATATGCACAGCTGCACCAGATTCTGTCTGCTCCAGTTTTAGGCTCCATGCACACTAGTGTTTTTTTTCTAAAGTGTTACTAAACCCCGGACCCTGCATTCACCTATATCTGGTCTCCCACAGTACACAGAACATGGAAATGAAATTATTTTAGTAAATATAAACTGCTAAATACCTTTTCTCATCAGCAGTTAGAAAAGTCATGTGACTTCTATCAGTGTCCAGCTGAGCACTGGTTAAAGCTTGTAGGATGAGTTTTCATTCTCCTCTCACTGCCCTATGACATTGCATAACCAACAACCCTCTGTCTGAACAGTGCTGATTGGCCCTGTGCTGATCACATGAACTCTCCCAAGAAAAAGAAAAAACTCTCTAGTCATACACACCAAACTGAGCATGTGCACAGTATCCCCGAGGCTCTGTACTATCAGGAGATGAAATGGGGAATGTTTAAAAAGGGGAGGATCAGAGAAGACAGGATCAAACATCCTTTTTACACAATGCAGAGGATTAACCCTTTAGGTTCCATGCTTTACGGCATATACAGGCTGATTTTACTGTTGTGGGTTTAGTGACACTTTAAGCTCAAAAAAATGCTGGGAAAAATGCTTGATTAAAAATGCTGGTAATAGTGTTTTTAGTAGCATTTTAGTAGCATTCAGAAGCGTTTAGGAGCATTAGCATTTTATTGGCGTTTTTGCAGCACATGTAGAGGAGAAAAAAAAGCTTGAAAAAAGCTGTTAGGAGCATTTTAGTAGCGTTTAGGAGCATTTCGGAGCGTTTAGGAGCGTTCGGCATTTTTTTTTTTTTTCTGCTGGAAAAACTCTTTTTTTTCTTCTCCTAGACGCTGAAGCTCAAAAAATGCTAGTAGGCTAGAGTAGTGTGCATGGACACACAGGAGAACACTATTTAGCTTCTAGGAGAGGAAAACAATATACTGATAATAGCTTCTAGGAGCTTAAAAAACACTAGTGTGCATGGAGCAAATCTCCTCCTATAATAATTTAGCTAGCGGAACGGCAGGTTGCACTGGAAAACTGCCTGGTTAGTTAAGAGACACTCAGCTTTATCTTTAAAGTTAGTCATACATGTTACAATCTGATTGTACAATCTTCTCTACATCTACCAATAAGTATATGGTACAAGGACCTGAGGGATTGGACACAGATCGGATAATGGATGATTTAGATATTTGCCTATTATTATATGGGTTTTAAAAACTCCAAAACAGTTTGTATAAAAATTGTACAACCATATTGTATCATGTATGGCCATTTCAATTTAGATTCAATGCAAACATTACCAGTGTAAACTCAAAAAACATGCATAACCAGTGAAAGAAATAGAATACATTGGGGGCTATTTTCTAAAACTGGAGAGTGCAAAATGTGTTGCAACTTTGTACAGAAACCAATCAGCTTCCAGGTTTTATTGCCAAAGCTTAAAGTGTTACTAAACCCACAACAGTAAAATCAGTCTGTAGATGCAGTAAAGCATGCTTGTTATACTCACTGTGGAACCTAAGGGGTTAATCCTCTGCACTGTGTAAATAGGCCCTTTTGTCCTGTTTGCTCTATCTCTGGGGGTCAAGGGTCATGCAGCCTCATAGGATAGTCAGAGCAGAATGAAAACTCCTCCTACAAGCTTTAACCTGTGCTCAGCTGAAGTCACAAGACTGCTCTAACTGCTGATGAGAAAAGGGATTTAGCAGTTTATATTTATTAAAATAATTGCACTTCCATGTTGTGTGTACTGTGGGAGACCAGATATAGTGAATGCAGGGTCCTGGGTTTAGTAACATGCTATGGTAAAAAGCTGATTGGCTACCATGCACAGGTACACCAGATTCTGAGTGATCCAGTTTTTGTAACCCCCCCCCCCCCCAGTGTGTATAAAGGAGTCTGTGGTTGATTAACATTCACCTAAGTTGTAGTGATCTTTATAAAATATATTATTTTCCCTATTAACGTGTTTAGGAGAAACTGTAAAAGAAATGAAATCAGACACGCAGCACTTCTCACTCTAAGGTGCTATGTCCATTACCTTTCAATAAATGCATATTATTGATTTTCAGCCGACGGGAAGTTTTCTCGATGCATTTTATTCCTGTAACATTTAGCTGGAGAGTGTTCGGAGAGAACCAGGCAGCCAACATCCCAAACATCTGGCCAGACCTAAATGAAATAAACATTTACAGCTTTTCTGACCTTTTCCTATGGATGAAAGATTGTGTATAACCTTTCAAGAGGCTCAGTATGATTTAAAACTTAGAGAAGCATTCCCTGTAGGCTGTTACATTAGAGTACAGATGAGATAGGAAAAAATGAAAAGGCTTGATTTAAAAATATCTACAAACTTTGGGAAGCAATCATAGAAGGTCAGCTCATTCAAGATCTCTGAAAGCAAGCCGGGGCCGGGTGCTGGAAAGAAAATGGGATTTCGAATCAAAATGCAAAATGAAATGTTTTTAGAGGAAATCTGCATTGTGTTTTTTAACATGAAAGGGCCCAAGGGCAGCAAGTGTTAGAGATTAGTTCAGGGGATAGGTTTGGATAGGTGCTAAGGTTTTAGATACTAGGGGTTCATCATGGGCTGGTTTTAGGGGTTGTTAGGAGTTCATTAGGGAGTTAGGTTTAGGCTGGCCATACACTATACAATTTTCAGTTCAATTTCTGCCCAATTTCCTTTAGATTTACCTTCAACTATGTAGTGCAAGGGCCTGCCTAACCTGATACAATTGAAAGTGTTGTTAGGTTTGACCTCATATTATATGGTTTTTGGTAAATCGAAGCCAAAATTCTCAAGAAAATTGTATAATGTATGGCCAGCCTAAGTGTTAAGGTTATGTTTGTAGGGGGTGTTTATGGTTAAAGCGGAGTTCTGCTCAAAAGCGGAAGCTCCACTTGTTTGCCTCCTCTCCCCCTCCACTGCTATATTTGGCACCTTTTGGCGGGGTGCAGGTACCTGGTTTTGACAGGTACCCACTCCCACTTCCGGCTCAGTTCACCGCGGCAAAGTGACCTGGAAGTTCGGCCCCCTCCTTGCTTCCGCAGTCTCCTGGGAACTTTCACAGGTCCCAGGAGACCGCCGGATCAATCAGGAGGAGCAGCGCGGAACGACTTGGTCATGCGCAGTGGGCACCAGGCTGTGAAGCTGTCACAGCCTGGTGCCCATAGCAGAGATGCTGGCGTCATGGAGGAGAGAAGGAGAGAAGGGACGGCACGGGTGAGCACATCGCTGGACCCAGGGACAGGTGAGTGTATGTTTAACAGTCAGCAGCTATACTTTTTGTAGCTGCTGACTTTTAATAAACACAAAAATGTCTGGAACTCCACTTTAAAGTTAGAGGTAAAGGTTAAAGTACAAAAATAAACTTCAAGGCTAAGTTTGTGTGTGCTCTGAAAAGCGATCTACGATGGATTACTTTTCATATGAGCAGCCCCATTGATTTGAATGGCTGAATTTGACAGGAGTTGCTGCCTTGACATGTCGCCTTAAATTTTCCGCAGCAATAACACATAGCATTGAAACTGCAACATATGAACAGCGTCCTCCAGCTGGATCCATTCACAATGGTGCGTTTTTAATGCATTACAATAACATTTTATGCAGCACATATGCGTTTTACATGCATTATCTTCCATTGTCACCTGGAATAAAATTGACATGCGACTTAAAAAAAAAACGCATTTAAAAAAATGTGCGGTGTGCTTTTGGAGCGTTTTTGGGCATGTCCATTGACTATAATGGAAGGTGCATTTTTTGGTATGTTTTTTTTCAAAGAGCACATCAAAGATGCAGCAATCAGGACTTGGGAACAGAAGAGATGGGAACAGAAACAATTTAACAGGGAACTATTTTTCATGTGCTTTTGTCTCACTGGAAAGGTGCTTTTTAGCATGGCAAAAGCCCAGGAGTGTGAACAGGGTCTTAGATTTTATGTGAGCGGTTGGGGAGTGGTAAAATTGAAGCTCAGCTGCCTGCTTTTACCACCTCCCAAAACTCATGTAAAAGAGGCCTAACTGAATGACATTTTCTT